TCCCTTGATGTGCTAATATCGAACCCTAAGCCACCTTGAGTGCATTTGTGAGCTTTCTTGAGAGTTCTTGGTGTTCTTTAGAGTCTTTGAAGAAGAAGGAAGCTTGGGAAGAAGCAAGGATGTGGAAAGAGCTTGTAGATCTAAACGTTTCGCACCATTTCTGACCCTTTGAAGGAATAAATTATAAACCCTGATCATTGCATGCTTAGATCTAGGTTTAGGCTAGAAAATGGTATGTTTTGGTCCCATAGTTTGATTTTTGCAGTTTTGCAACTTCAGACCTTATGAGCTATCCTTTTGAGCTCGTGGAGGTGTTTTGAGTAATAAAAAATCGGACCTTGATGGTTAATCCTCAACCATGCATGTGTTAGGAACCATCCAAGTGTGCTTATGGACTAGATTCATGTTTTGGGCCCCATCCTTGCATGAAAAAGCAAAAAGTTTGCAAATTTATGGCTTAGGACATTTTTAGGGGCCTGGATCTAAATTTTGGATGTTAGGTCTTAATAGCTTAAGTCATGGAAGTGAGAATGGGTTAGCAGACCAGTACGCCATGCGTACTCCACTTTATGTTGCACGTACTGGGTCAGTGCCTCAACCCCTGGTCAACTCCTGCGTACGCTGGGTGTACAAGCCAAGTACGTCGCGCGTACGCAGTCAGTGGGCCTAGAAGGTTTTTGGGCTCATTTGGTGTTGGGCTTTGGACTTGAGTAAGTTGGGCCTGAGATCCACCTGATTGTAGCAAGACATTTTTGGGCCTATGGCCATGTTTTGGTGTTCTTGGGCCATATTGGGCCTTAGAAGCCCTATAGTGGGCTTAGATGCCTTTTTTTTGGTTTCGTGGAATTGGGCCTTAAAGGAAAGGAGGCCTAATAAGGTGAAGGCAAAGGAACCCTTTTTTCCTTATGTTAAGAATTAGGGTTTTGGACCTTCGGGTTAGAATATGGCCTAATTTCTAGTTCGAGTTCTATGCTTGTACAATGGGTAGAGGAGTTCGCGAGTCATCAGTTGAGTGCGATTTGATACCCACAGTATGAGGTGAGTCATCCTTCGCAGTAGCCGTCGGTTGAAAGCACCAAGGCCGACCCACTATTATATCTTATAGTGTGATGATTGTCTTTGTGATAATTGTCAATTATTCCTGTATTTTCTTGATGACTCTGTGATTTCTATTATGATATTTTGTGGTAGTATTGGGTGAAATAGGCCTGGTATCCGATTGAAATAGACCGAAGGGGATTGCAAGCACCCATATATGCTTAATAGTATCTGGTTGAGATACACCGAAGGGGTAGGCAAGCACCCAAATATGCTTGGCAGTATCCGGTTGAAATAGACAGATGGGGTAGGTCCGCACGCAGATATGCTTGGCAATATGTTAGTTTAGCATGTGGTATTTTGGGGAAACTCACTAAGCTTTGTGCTTACATTTTTCAGTTTCTGTTTCAAGTACTTCCAGTTCGAAGGGGAAGGGTCCGGCCTGATCGCACCGCATCACTCTATGTTTTTTCCACACTTAGTAATTTTGGGATTTGTTGTCTGATAACATGTAACAATATGACTCTTTCGAATATTTTAATGTCAGTTTCTTATGAATTGAATGAATTTAAAAACAAAATTTTATATATATTTTTGGGGATGTTACACTAATTAGGGATCTTTTTAACAGTTTTAGTCATCAATCATCATATGTTACAACATGACTCTTTCGAATATTTTAATACCGTCTACACCGCCTAGGAATGCCCATGACCGAATCTGCCTAAGTCGAACGACTATCATTAATCTAATATATATATATATATATATATATATATATATATATATATATATATATATATATACACACACACACATACATAAGGTGTATTTTAAGACCTTTTAAAATACAAGGTTTAAATATTAATTATCTAAATTAATCATATAATTAATTAATCATTTTAAACCAACTGTATTTAATATTGGTGTGAACTCGGGAATACGCCGGTCCGGGGAAGCGCCCCTGGGTGAAGGATTCCAAGGGGCTGCAGGTCCTTGGCGAGGTCTAGGGGTAGCGCCCTTAGCGAGGACGAAGGGGCAGATCCCCTGGCGGTTTCATAGATTAAGGCATTTCCTATCAAATTCGTTCGATTAACGACCTTCCACCACACACGGGAGAGGTGGGTGAAAACGACACCCATTAGACGGTCATTTTATAGGACGTTTCCTTATACCCCCTTTATAGCATGCCTTGGTGAATGAGTCCTACTATTAATTCAACTAGGGTTAAGGGACTAATCGGTCTAGACGGGAATTAATCGGCGCCTAGGCGGAGACCATTAATTGTAATAGAATTTTTTTTTAAAACTAAATATTACCTATATCCTAACCAAATAAGTAAGTAAGTAACCATAAAACTTTGGCATATTCTGTCGTCTAAATATTTAAATCATCGTTTATAATAATTTTTACGCTACTTGAGGATCTTTTTAACAATTTTAGTCATCAATTATCATAATTTAGTCTCCCAATATCATAAGTTCGACTAATCGGGGATTTTTTTTTTTTTGATTTTTGCAAATTTTGACTATGTGACTTTTTTATTGGCTTAGACTGTCTAGACCGCCTATGACCACCCAGGACCGCATAGGGTCGCCTAGTATAGTCTACCGTCGCCCAGGACCGAATCCGCCTAACTCAACCAACTAGCATTAATCGTAGACAGTAAGAGGCTGCCTAACGCCTACGCATCGCTTAGGCCGATTTTTACAACACATTATATATATATATATATATATATATATATATATATATATATATATATATATATATATATATATATATAGGGTGAGGTTCAATAGTAAACCATAATTAACCAAGGAACCAATCTTTTTTTTCAACTTTTAGAACTTATTTTTTGTCAAAAAAAAAAAACTAAAAATTCAGAAATTCATAACTTTTTATCCTTTTTCCAATGATATCAAATTCGAATTTTTTTTTTTACGTCAAATTCACAATGTGAATCTTTGAAAATTCACAATGTGAATCCGGATTCACAGGGTGAATCCGAAAAATATTTTTCACATTCACAATGTTAATATATGAATTTAGATATTTTTAGATTTATTTTCGATAAATAATAAGCTCTAGAAATTGAAAAAAAGTTTTGGTTCCTTGAAGAACCAATAATTATGGTTCTCTATTGAACTTTTCTCTCTCTCTCTCTCTCTCTCTCTCTCTCTATATATATATATATATATATATATATATATATATATATATATATATATATATATATATATATATATATATATATATATATATATATAGGAAAATGATCAAATGAGAACACCTAAAAGCTTGAAAACGCGATAACACATCCGGTACATTAAAAATTCAAAATCTATGGATATTATTAATAATGTATTTTAAATAACAATACATTATTTTTAATTAATTTTAAATAAAAAAACACTACAAAGGGTATTCAAGTAATTTAGGATTTCATCCATTTTGAATATATCGGGTAATTGATATAATTAGAGGAAACCGTTGCTATGTTTTTGTAATCACAGCTGAGCCCGTATCTTTGGGACGATTCGATCATATCTTCACCTGCAATGCAAAAAAAAACTCAACAACAACGATTCATACAATCGTCGATTGCTACTGTTCTTTTGTAAGTTCTATTGTCGATTGTGGGTTCTGTAAAGGATGGAACGTGATAGAATGTTGTCGATGATGAACATGACAGAAAGAAGTATGTTTCTTAATCGATTTTGAATGGTGTTTAAGTGTAAAAGTAGTACATTGATAACTTTTAAAGTTCCTTTTCTTTAATTTTAACACGATTGTGAAAATCCTAAAATTAGGGTTTTTGATTTTTTGTTCTATGCTCTATTAGGAAGTATAATGTTGCCAAGTCATTTATGAATGTTGTATAAATTTTAAATATCGCATAAAGAAAGGATTTTATGGGGATTTTATGTTCATTAAAACTCTAAAATTATGGATTTTGTTTGTATTTGTTGTGTAGTGATTCATAAAGCCATTTTAGTATGTGATTGTGCATTCGAACTTGAAAATCATAGCTTCCTCCTATTTTACCACGATTGTGAAAACCCTAAAATTAGGGTTTTTATATTTTTTGTTCTAGCCTCTGTAAGGAAGTATAATGTTGCCAAATTGTTTATGAATTACGATGAAATTTTAAATGACGGACAAAACGTATTATGTTATTATCATCTATGATTGATAAAGTCAATAATTATTAATGGTGTATAAGTATGAAAGGACATATATGTATTTATGATTGATTATAGTATGTTTTTTATACAATTATTTTTTTAGGGTGTACTCAGTTATGAATGTTAAAGGCATTTTAGTCTGTGATTGTGTATTTGATTGATTGATTATTTATTTATGAGTGATAATGTATAATTGATAAAGTCAATAATGATTAATGGTGTATACTGTTTTATTATGTTTTGATAATCATTGTTAGTTTGGTTAAACCAACTTAGATATATTGTTTTATTATGTTTTGATTCTTACATGCATTGCTGATTAATTAATGAAAATGTTATTTTATTATTTTTTAGGTAGAAATAGCAGCGAGAGGATATTACTAAAGACGAAATTCAACAAATTCACTAATGAAGAATCAAATATGGTGCTTATTGATATGGAAGTTGAATACCATCAAGGAAACAAAACAGAACAACCTCCAATTAAAAGATAAATTCAAAATTGTATTTCAAATGTATTCTTTAATGATTATATTACTTATAATGACCGGTTGGAATGAAAGTGTACACTGGACTCCAGAAAATGAAATACAGAGGGAAAATTAACTGAGAACCAAAACACTGTTTGACAATTGTAAAAGAAAGCGTCTTGAAGTTGTTGTTTTGAACTTAGATTCAAGTAATGATTAGTTAAGACTAATTTATTAAGGTTTAGTTCAGTATTTCGTTATAATCATTTATATTGTTTAATATGTATTAACAGAAGAACATAATATGAAAAGTAAAGTGAAGGTTACGAAGTTTGATGCCAATGAGGGATCGGATTTTGAAGATGCTCAACTTGTGGTTATTAGGAAAAAGAGGATGCATCATATTTCATTCAAAGATGAAGATGAAAAACGTGTGAAGAAAGTAAGTAAAAAAGAAGTTGTACAAAAGAGGCGAAAGAATAATGAAGGAAATGTAGGGAAAGCAAGAAAATTACCTAAAGTTGTAGATTCTAATGCAGAAGAACCAAGGAGAATACAAGTACGAACATCACCAAATGTGTTGTACAGTTGTATGCATAAACTTAGCGAGGAACAGAAATCATATATTTCTTCTATTGGTCTGGGGCATTTGCTAAATATGAAAGTGGAAGGGTGTACATCGATTATTGGGCACTATATGGTAAGGAATTTTGATGTAAACAGAATGGTACTTAGGCTTCCTCGTGGTGATATACCAATAAATCGGGAGGTAATTCACGAATTGTTGGGTCTTCCTTTAGGGAATGTTGCTATAAAGTCGATGGCATATACACAGGTTACAGACGACACGATCACTGTTTGGAAGAAACAATTCGATGATGAAGATAATATTAAACCAAGGGCAGTTCAACAGATTATTATACAAACAACACATGCAAACTTACTTTATAAAGTAAACATCTTTGTTATGATGTGTAATACACTAGGCCAGTCAATGAGCATGTGAACATATGACCTTTCCATGTTATCAAAGGTTACAAAAGACCTGGATCTAAGTGACATCCATTGATGTGGATATTTTTTTTGATTGCCTGAAGGACACAAGAAGTACATGGAATCCATACAGTAGAAAAGGATTCTATGTTGGGCCAATTATCTTTCTTTTGGTAATATTTAGTATCCGATGCAGATGTTTTTCAAAATATATTCATTTTTCATATGTATTATCTTAAATGATTCATAATAAATGAATAGGTGTACAAATTCATTAAATTGTCTTTACTTACTTAAATTTGTGTTTGTGTATGTTATTCTATTATATGTAGAAAGTGTACGATGCGATTCAGTAAATATTGTATGAGGCAGACCAGCAATATGTTTTCAGAATGTTGATAAACGGTGTGAGCGAGAAAGAGTTGAGTTTAGGACCATAGGTTTGGGTATGGGTGAAATGCAAGAACCATTTCCAGTCATCAATGAATCAGCTGCTACTGGTAATATAGTTCATGAAACAATTCAGGTACTATGTTATTATATTCATTAATGCATATTATATGTTATACTTTAATATTTTGTTTACGTAACATTGATTCTATTCATACATATTGATAGGCTAATGAAGCAGGAAAACGTATAAATTTAAGTGATGGAAGCTTTAAGGTATTAGTATGATATAATCGTTAATCAATAATTTATGCCTGTTGAAACAAATAAAATCATGTATTGAATTATTAAATTCGAAAGTGATTAATGTTGCTTTATATACTATTATGTTCAATTCACAAAATATTAATTGATTAATTTTCATAGGGAAATGAACCAAAAGAAGATTTCAATGGATGTGGTAACACGATTGAGGTATTTTACCGTTATATTCACATTTGAATGATGTAGTAATTTAGTATTAATTAAATTTTTATGGCATATTTATGTTTTTTTGTTTGTACACAATTACATCATGTCGACTTTAATAGGCCAATCTTTCAATAATAAAGGAGATGTACGAGATAATCATGCATCAAAAGCAAGTGTTGGAAGATAAAATAAATGAAACTATCAAGATATACCCTAAGAATCCATTGGTCCAAGAATGGAAAAACAAATTAAATGAACTAATTAAAGAAGTTGCAACATCATAGGAATCAGTTCAATCTCAATGGTGGTATGATAACAAGGCAGAAATTGAACGTTCACTAATTCTTGCAACATCTCGTAAACAATTTAACAACTCACCGATACCAAACTATAGTATTCAAATGTCAAAGGATTATGCAGACATCGTGAATGGATCTGCAAGAAAATCTTTTGATAGTACACCACCATCTAAAATGTAAATGCCAATTCCTTTGTCTGTTGTGCCATTCTAAAATAAATACAACGGGTTTAATACAAGAGGGAACAGGCCCCGCATGAAGTCTGATTATCTCGAATCTCCTTACAATATACATGTTGTTGATATCAAGAAAGTAATTCCACGATAAGAAAAACGTGTAGCAGACTCGATATTCTCTCATCATGAGGAGCCAACATAATTTACATTTAACATATGTTTAATGTTAATTACTTTATTTGATTAAAGAATAAAAAACTAACAATCGGTCCCGTCTTTTGTAGTGATATAGTTTTCCACGGTCTGGATGGTTTTTCTGCACAGAGGTTTCAGATGGAATGTTTTTTTCCTACATGTGAATTATTTGGTCATGTTATTGATTGTTGGAGTCAAGTGTTGAATCTTGATGAAAGTAAGCGTGCACCAGAATCTCCTCTGAGTTTACTGCAAGACAGAGTTGACGGTATAATTCATTTATATTCATTTATGATTAAAATATATTTTAAAAGCAATTTGTTCACAAAACTAATGACTTTTTAAAACTACATTATAGAATTTGTACCTAGAAGGTAAGTTAATAGAAAGTGAACGCAAAACTAAATTCCTTGAGAATCTTTTTCTTTTTATTGAAGATATGGACTCAATAGTACGTTATGTTGGTTTGGTAAGATACATATCTGAACATGTTAAATACTTTTTGTGTTAATTTATTAGTAATCATATATAAATAAAAAAATACATTGAATACCTTTTAATTACTCCATTTTCCATCTTTTCCTACCGGTACGTTATGTCTGTTCCTTTCATATTTTCCTTTCTATAATCAATCTACAACACCCAAAGTTTGTAATCATTGACAACAGCAAAGTTGATGATCCTACTGATGTTAGATATGGTCAAGTGCCCCAGATCGTCGTAAGTGATCAATAAAAGTTACATTAATTATTAAATAACGTTTCATATATCTTAACAAATTTTTTAGCATTTTCATAAAACGTACATACTTGATTACTTAAGATCTCAGAATCATCCAAAAAATGAGATGTTTTCACATGTGATGCCACATAGACTATAAATGCCTTGGAGAACAATAAACAACCACATTGATTGTGGCGTGTTCAAAATGCGTCACATGGAAACGTACATGGGTGGAAGTATGAATGAGTTTAAAGTTGGGTTCAAGAACGAGTCTTCTGCACAAGATGATCAACTAGCTAAGTTAAGGACAAAATATGTATATAAAATGATCAATCATGAATATAATGTGCATAAGGATGCTGTGCTTCAAAAGGTTGATCAATTCCACAAGATTCCTTCAAGACAACGCACTGAAATGTTAAGTATTGCAAAGGAACAAATTCACAAAAGATTCGATGATTTTAGTTAAGTATGTGCAGAATATGCCTTTAGTTAAGACTTTACTGGTTTCTTTTGATATCTTTAAAACACTGGTTTTGTATGTGAAGAATATTAAGTTTATTTGTCTAACATACAATGCTTTATGGTAATGTTGGTTTGGTACTTTAGAATGGAATGAGAAGTAATATTTTCATCTGTTTATATATGGTTGATTTTACATTAATTTTGAATAATTAAATATGGAAATAGCATCTGTCAAACATTTATGGTTAACATGATTAATATCGTGTGCTCATTTTTTTTATGTTGTGGTGTTTGTAAGTATTTTTTACAATATTAGTCATTTATGATTTGCACATTCAGTCAATGATGATTATTAAATACTATCCATTTATTAATATTATATACAACTAAATCACTACAATATCAAGTTTATATAATTGAAATGACAACAACAACAGTCTACAATGATTGAGTTCAAATTATATGTTCAAAATGGACAAATAATATAGCGTAAACCATATTATTGTAAATCGTAACTGAATAAAGTTATGAATGAAGTATAAGTTATGTTTTCATTTGTTTAAATATGGTTTATTTAAAATGAATTGGGAATAAATTAATATGGAAATATTAAATATACATATGTTAATCATGAAACGCTTGTGATTAATTTGATATATATCATGAGCACTTTATTATTTTGTTATAATTTGGGTTTTGTAACTTTTTTGACAACATTTTTCTGTTATGATTTGTTTTTTTAAAGTAAAATGCAGTTTAAAGTATGATTCAATGATGATTTTAAAATACTATTCATTATTTAATTTATCAAAAGTTGAAAATGAATGTTGTTAAAGTTATGAATAAACTATATCAAAAAAAACATGAAATACATCCATAAATGATATAAAAGTGTGTTAAAACAAAATTACGTATTGACTTAAAGAACCATCTTCTTATTCATAAATCTAATACAAAAAAGTGAATCACTTGCGCAACTTAATGGGCCATTTTAAGAAGATGGTTCACATATTGATTGCAACCTGTGCAAATTCTAGTTTTTTTTCTTTGCAGCTGCAACAACTTTCTCGTTGGCACTAACCATTATTTTCTTAGTTTCACTCCTTTTGGTACGTATTCCTGAAGGTGGATGGATATTTATTTTTCCAGGAATGTTGCATACTCCTAGCATCTGAATGATTTCTTCTTCTTCATTATCGGATGATGATTGGTTTGAAATATCCAAATTCCATTGTTGCCTGCTTCAAGATATGGGTTTTCTCAAAAAATCCAACAATTTATCCTTACTTCTTTTGAAATGATCCAACCAGTATTCAATATCACTGTAAGCCTCTGTTAGAAGTTTAAATGTGTCATCTTTGGTTTCCATAGAAACATGTTTCATGGCAAGCAAATGGCTGGAAATTGCATCTATTTTCCATCTTCTGAGAATATATTGCTCTGGAATCTCTTCAATATGGTTGTTCTTTGAGACAGCAAAAGTATGCCGACAAAAAATGTCACACCCCGCTAGCGGAAACACGGGGCATGGCAGTACAAAAGGTCTCATATCAAAAGTTAAAAGACAACAGCAACCATAGTATTAAAAAGCGTTACAAATTTACAATGAGTTTGAGCAACTTTTTAAAAGAAATTACAATGTATTTAAAAGACAACACATGTGAATGCTCCTACAAGTGATGTGTCCTTAGGTGTCTCTTACTAGAAGATTCCTGAAAAAGCATGTAAAACGAGCGTCAACTATAAAAATAGTTGGTGAGTTCACAGATTTACAACAATACTAGTATATGAGTCATAATCAGAGTTTTAATAAAAGTTTCCATAAATAAAAGTACATTGCTAAAATGAGTAAATAAGTTTGCATAAACAAAGTTTATTGCTAAAACAAGTAAACAAGTTTCATTGCTAAAATTAGTATACAAGTTTCATTGCTAAGATGAGTGTATAAGTTTCGTTACTAAAATAAGTATATAAGTTTCGTTGCTAAAATGAGTATTCAAGTTTCTCTGCTAAAATGAGTATACAAGTTTCGTTGCTAGAATCAGTATATAAGTTTCGTTGCTAAAATGATTATACAAGTTTCATTGCTAAAATGAGTATACAACTTTCGTTGCTAAAATGAGTATACAAGTTTCGTTGCTAAAATGAGTATATAAGTTTTGTTGCTAAAATGAGTATACAAGTTTCGTTGCTAAAATGAGTATACAAGTTTCATTTCTAAAATGAGTATACAAGTTTCGTTGCTAAAATGAGTATACCAGTTTCGTTGCTAAAATGAGTATACAAGCTTCGTTGCTAAAATGAGTATACAAGTTTCGTTGCTAAAATGAGTATACAAATTTTGTTGCTAAAATGAGTATACATGTTTTGTATGTGCATAAAGATTCCATTCATGAGTTCACAACTCAAGCCTAATGACCGAATCGTGCCCTATTGACTACTATGTGTATTGCAAACATAGTGAAATATGGTAAAATACACTCAAGAAAATCGTGCGAGTGAGGAGTTGTCTACCTCCTAATAGCGCTATCTGTAATGACCATGGGCTTGAAAGAGTTAATGAGTTGTGTCAAATGATTCCAGGGACTTAACCGCGATACAGTCCTCATGAATTAAAGTAACAAACACATACATGCAAAATATAGCAACCAAGATTATACGAGTCAATACAATGAACATAAATAATTTAGGACATGCTTTTCCACCCTAAAACATTTAAAAACCGAAAATAGGGGGAGACGTGAATACTCACAATGCTTTGAGATAATGCAAATGGTTCCTGGAACTTAGCTCCACTCGTACCACTTTCAATTCCTACAACGATGTTACACACTAATGAGTCTCTACTCGATATCTAATACTAGTATACTTACTACTACAATATAATTATGCCAATATTGTGTCAAAATTAGGGTTTTGTATAAGTTACAAACATTTTTCTGTAAATTCAAATCTCCATGGATCAATTTGTTAAATAACAAATTTAAGTGAAAAATCCAATTTTTGACAATGTCAATTGAAGTGTAACTGTAACATTTTTGAAGGTGTTTCAAATGGTTAAATATTCAACACTAAATCAAATAAGTTATAAAATTTTACAAACTTTGTATTTCAGTTTTAATTGAGGTTAAAGACATTAAAATAAATTTTCGTGAATTTGTGATTTGTCTAACTATTTTTCCTTTATTTAATTGCTCAAATCAACACAAATTCATGAAAAAAACAACCACTTAAAAGAATTCTCCAAAATTTCTGTAACACTGATATTCATCATATATAATATGGGAAAAATATAAAACTTGGTTTTTAAACCGATTAACGTGATTTTATGATTTTTTTGTGTATTTATTATAGTCAAAATCAAAATAAATAAGAATCAGTTTATAAAATTCTCCAAACATTTTGTGCCAATGTTATTTAACCTATATAAGTCGGGAAAATAATCAAAGCTGGTTTTCAAATAGCTTAACTTTTTTTTTCTTTGTTTTTTTCATTTAAATAAGCATTAAATCGTGAAAAATTATTAACCAGTAGGTAAAATTCACTAAACTTTTTACTTACGATTACTATATAATATAAGATATTATGACGAAGTTTCATAATTTTTGGATAAGTGTAGCTATTTTTCATTAATTTAATCCCTTAAACATTCATTAAATCGGGAAAAATAAGAAATTGTCTTGGAAAAATCTAAACAAATTTGCATGGAGTCTTTATGGTTTCTAGCAGATGCGAAAATTATCAAATATGGTTTAGGAAAATCATAACTGTATTTTACAAATTATTTCTCTTCAACAAAAAAGAAATCAAAATAAACAGAAAATTGTCAAATAAATGCATGAAACTTTAGAAAAATGTATTTAATCGGTGTATGGCTCATCACAAATTTTTTTCAGAATTTAATTACCGCAAAAAGTATTTTATGTGAATTATTTCTCTATTTTCTTGCAATAATTATAATAATTCGTGAAAAATGAATTATTTTCTAACAATTTCCAGATAATCTTAGTTTGTTTTTCTAGATTCTAACAAAAATTGGATTTGACCATAAAAGAATTTTTAGATATTTATTTGGGAATAAATCATTTATGACATATTTGAATGCTTTTTAACAAACATACTTTGATCATCTAGCATCTAAACTTGAATATCATCACTTGCATGTTGGTTTGAAGACCATGCATGAGTTTGAAATGTTCAAAATTCGTTTTTGAAAGAAAAATCATGGTGCATGTGGTGATTTTCCACCAAAACTTGTAGAAAAGTGCATTATCTTGATTTTGACTTGGGATTTTGTCATGGGACTTCACCATTTGCAACACGTATGTTGTTTTTGGTGAAATCCTACCACCATCATCATCAAAACTGGCAAGTATGAGCATGCATGTAAATAATCTCAAAGAAAACTGTATATGGAGAAGAAAAATGCAAGAAAACTTTTAATTTTTAATAGGAATGTGAAGGAGGATGAAGGAAATTTTTGTTTAACTTGAAGAACAACCTCATAGGATGAAATTTTTTGAGTAAAATGGTATTCTTGCTGCCAAAATTTCGTTAGTTAGAAAGAGGGAAAAGAATGAGGGGTTTTAGAGAGAAGAAATGAAAGAAAAGAGAGATTTTGTCTCTCTGGATAACCAATCTCTCTCGTCATCTCTTTGAAGTTTCTCTCCACCAAAATTGGCCAGCAAAATACAAAGATTTATATGAACTCATGAAGAATCGAATGTAAAAATCTCTCTGAGTGATATTGCTTCTAGGTTTTTCGTTTCTACAGCGGAGGAGGACTGAAAATTTTAGAGAGAGAAGTGGAAGGTGGAGTGAATGGGTGATCAAAATGATTAGTATTGGGAAGGGGGAGGATATGGCCGAAATTTTGAACTTATGAGGAGGTTTCCCTCTTTCTTACTTCCAAAAAAAATAAACCCTTTAATTTATATATATACATATATATATATATATATATATATATATATATATATATATATATATATCCATGTTTTTATA